TAAAAAAAATAGTGATGACACCAAATGCTGGGGAGGATGCAAAGAGACTGGATCACTCACAAGCTGCTGGTGGGAGTGAAACACAGGGCAGCCACTCTGGAAAACAGTCTGGCAGTTTCTTATAACATTAAACATGCAGTTGCCATATGGGCTAGCAATTGCACCCTTGGGCATTTAAAACTTATGTCCACACAAAAACGTGTACACATACACAAATGTACCAAACTGGGATCCACCCAATTGTCCTTCAACAGGTGAATTGTTAGACAAGCTGTGGCACACCCATAACACAGAATAATTCTCAGCAAGAAAAAATAACGAACTATTGATACATGCAACAATCTGGATGAATCTTCAGAGAATTATGCTGAGTGAAAAAAAGCCAATATGAATGATTACATGCTAAATGATTTTATTTACATAACATTCTTGAAATGACAAAATTATAGAAATGGAAGGCTGATTAGTGGTTTCCAGGGACTGCTGTGGAGTCTGGGAGGGCCGGGGAGGGGCGAGGCTGTAAAAGAATAATAGATAGGATCTTTGTGGTTTGGAAATGTTCAGTATCTTCACTGTGGTGCTGGAGACATAAACCTACACAGATGATAAAATTGTGTAGACCTTGGTGCACACATCACACACACACACACACACACACACACACAACCAGGGAAATCTGATTGAGATGGTACATTGCACCAATATCAATATCCTGCTTGAAATACTGTAGTATTGTACTCAAAACTAAACACAATATACACGGAATCTGTCTCTCTGTATTATTTTTTACAAGTACAGTGTGAATCTGCAATTATTACCATAAAAATGCCAATTAAAATAAAAGAGGAAAAGACAACTATTCACCTCACTTCTTACTTTAGTAGATACTTAAGTATTTCACAACTAATATCTGAAAGATTAAATGTTCTATATTTTTATTTCAATGCAATTGCATTAAATGACATCAGATTTTCTTATAGATTGATTTAAATAGTTCCCTATTATCAAGAGCTAAAATGTGTTCAAAGCTGCCCAAAGCAAAGACACAGACACTTATTTACCGGAAGAGACTGATCCAAGACAGTCTCTCCTCTCTGAGGGACTGATGGAAACAGCCAATGGGATCCAGCAAGATCCCTGGGATGAAACCAGCCTGCACATGTCTGACTCTCTCTCTCTCTCTCTCTCTCTCTCTCTCTCTCTCTCTCTCTCTGGCTTGAGAAGCTAAAGGCTCATTACCCATCAATACAGAAACTGCCATAAAAGGCAAGTCTTTCAAGTGGACATTTTATAGATTATCAACTGAAATAAATTGTCTGGGAACATTCATCACTATGACCATTCTTATTCATAAAGATGGGATATTTGTGACTAAAATGAAAATACATTCATTTAAAGCTAGTTACCGCTAAGCATCCATCAGGAGTGAAGCCAGAAGCCAGTTCAGCCATATATCAGGGGGCTCTTAGACCTACAGATCACATCGCGGACACAATGGCTCCTCGCACTCACAGTGCTAGCGTTGTAGGCCAAAGGTCTACGACTTCACCACTGCACATATGCGGCTGTTATTTAGAACTCTCCGAGGTATAGACTTACATTACCATCTGCCATCTCGGTTGCTGTTTACATCTGCCTTAAAAGGGGGAGGGGGGCAAAATCAATTAAAGTGTGTGTAGAAATCCCTGGAAAAATCAACAACAGCAACAACCTGAACTTGGTAGTACATGTGCCTATCCAAAGAGGAAATAAGGAATCTATACTCTTCTCTATTAGGAAATATTTCCTTGAACTAAAGAAAATTGTGCCAAAATGGTTTGTTAAAATCCACAGGCTAGAACATCTTAACACAGTTCAGCTTCTCCCAAGAGTCTCAGAAATATCTCAACTTTATATGGTTTTTTTCCAACTTTGTATGCTTTAAAATTAATTTGATGATAAATTGGACTTCAGAATAATTAAAAACCTTGGCTTTGTGAAAGAGTCTGTTAAGAGGTTAGAAAGAAGAGTTACAAACTGGGAGAAAATATTTGCAAACTATATTTCTAATAAAGGACTAGGATCTAGAATATATAAAGAACTTTCAAAACTCAACAGTAAAAAAATATCAATCCAATTAGAAAATGGGCAAAAGACATGAAGAAACATTTCACCAAAGAAAATATAGAGATGGCAAATAAGCACATGAAAAGATAGTTAACATCATTAGCCATCCAGGGGATGCAAATTAAAACCTCAATGAGATATTACTACATACCCATGAGAATAACTTCTAAAAAATAGTGAGGACACAAAATGCCGGTGAAGACGCAGAGAAACTAGGTCATTCATACATTGCTGGTTGGAATGGGAAGTGGTACAGCCACCCTGGTGGTATCATAAAATCGAACATGCAATTGCCAGCAACTTCACTTCTGGGCATTTATCCCAGAGAAATGAAAAATTATGTTCACACAAAATCCTCTACACAAATGTTTATAGCAGCTTTATTTGTAATAGCCACACACTGGCAACAACCCAGATGTCCTTCAGCAGGTGACTGGTTAAAAAAACTGTGGTCCATACTACGGAATACTACTCAGCAATAAAAAGGAACAAGTTACTGATATATGCAACAACGTAAACGATGTCCAGGGAATAATGCTGAGTGAAAAAAAAAAACAAACCCAAAAGGTTACATGCTGTATGATTTCATTTTTATAACATTTCTTAAATGACAAATTATAGAAATGGAGAGGAGATTAGTGGATTAAGGAGCTGGTGGGAAGAGAGGCTGGTAGGTGTAGCTAATAAGAGCCATGTGAGGGATCCTCACAGTGATGAAAATGTTCAATATATGACTGTATCGATATCAGTATACTCATTTTGATATTATACTACAGTTTTGCAAGATGTTATTATGGTGGAAAAGTGCTTAAAGGGTATAGGGAATCTCTGTATTATTTCTTACAACAGCATGTGAATCTACAATGATGTCAAAAAGGTTTAATTTTAAAAGAATTTAAGAGTTTATCAAGAAAGTATATCTTTTCCACTCAAGTTTGGAATAAAGATGTTGCTGACTCGTTGGCCAACAAAACCGTTGATAAGAAGGTGAAGCAGGCAGTTTGGAACAGAGCTGCTTCTAGGTTCTGTCCCTCAGCATCCAGGGGCTTCCCTTCCTGTCCAGGAGCACTACATTTTGGCAGCCTCCATCTCTTTCCAGGAGGCTCCAGTAAGGAACAAGACAAAATGGATCAGACAAGGAAGCCCACTCCCTGCTGATTCGTTACCATGGCTCTGAAGAAATTCTAACCCTAGGAGTTGCACTAATTGTCAGAATCAAAATGGAGGCACTTGTGTTAAAAAAAAAAGAAAAATATGCTGATAAATAGAGCTAGGAGAAGGCCATAGAGAGAGAGTTCTCATGCATGAATGCCTGATTATAAAAATTATCAAAAGGACTTGGCAAAACCACAACCTTGCGCAAAGGCCACTGCAACCTGAAACAAAAAAGTATTTCTGTGAGGACAGCTGCCCAGCAACTGCCTTTCCAACCTCAGATTGGCATCACCTTTATTATTGATCCTTGTAGCCAAAGGAAAATTTTCCCAATAAAACATGTAATCCTCCATAATTTTTTCCTTTAAAAACCTTTTCTTTCTTTACCTCCCAGAATACACACACAGTTTACTATGTCCCGCATATTCCCATGGCAATGTTCTATTCCCAATTAAACTCATTCTTTTAGAGAAACTCTCTCTGTTTGGAATTTAGGTTGGCAGGGGTAACCTCAGGATGAGTTTACTGTGGTTCCAGTTCTGTTATTTGGGATGCTGGTAAATGGAAAGGAGGCATCACCCAACCCATCACCAGTGACTGACAGGTGGTTGAAGCCTGCTGTCCAGGACTGCACTGCATGCAACCTTGAGGAAGAGAGGAAGCCAATGTGCATAGCATTCACACCTCTTCTGTAAGAATATATTTCTTGGGCATCACTGGGTGGTCTCTTGGCTTCCCTTGAGTTTGTGCTGTTCCCTACCTGATCTCCCAAATGACCTCCCTGCTGTTAATGCCTGGACTAATGACTACAAACTGCTGCTCCTCCAGGCAGCACGAAGGACTTTCTTCCAGTGAGCTTGCCCAAAACACAGACCCCCTCCTCTCCATCTGACAGCATGTCACACCCCCCCCCCTTGCTTGAACAGCCTTTGGCCCCAAGGCTTTCATGAAGTGCATACGTGTTCCTAATATTTTCCTGGCCTCCAGCCCCCCAACCAATATAGTCAGGGGCTGCTTTCTTTGCTATGTGCGATTTGGAACGCTGTCTTTGGTGAGCGGTATTGCAAAGCAGTGCAGAGCATGGATTCTCGCATTCAATTGCCAGGTGCAAACCCTCGCCTCACCATTTACTAGCAGAAGACTTGACAACTCTGACCCCCAGCTTTCTCATCATTAAGATGGGGTGATGACAGTAGTTGATCTCACAAGCTGTTAATAAGAAATAAATGAATCGATGTGGGTATAGTGTCTGGAAGCATTCCTGGCACACGGGAACCCTTATTAAATGTTAGCCATTGCTACTATTATTTCTTTTCTCATCATGATATTACCCTGAGAGGCAGCAGTGGTGAGTGAAAGTACTCTGAATTTAAACTCAAGTAGATTTGAGAGTCAAATTTAGCAGTAGCTCCTCTCTAGCAAGTCACTCAACCTCTTTGTGCCTCAGTTTCCATATTTGCAAAGTTGGGCCAAAAAACCTATTGATAGGATTGTTAAGGGGATTCAAGGATGTATCTGGTTTGTCTGGATTTTTCCAGTGTGCACACTAGGAACTTAAAGCACAGCTCTGTGGATTGTTCTTTCGTAATGTACAATTATTGCAGTGGAGAGCAGTGACGGAGAGGCTAGTCCTCTTTCCCTCTCCATCCCCCTTGCCCTGGCGCTTGGGAAGCAGAGCATCCCCATGGCAACAGCAGCAGCTGGTCCCTAGATAAGAGGAGCTGTAGCCAGGCAGCAGCAGCCACTGCTGCAGAGGAGCCAGGCCCAGCTTCAGCACACCCTCCCTGTCTCTTTCCTTCTCTGCTCAGCGCCTGTACTGATTGGTAAGTACTCCAGGTTTTTACTCCAAGAACTTTTGTGGTGAGAAAAGCAAGTTTCCAGTAAGTTACAGTTTCTCTGTGGTTGTGTAACTGGTGGCGCCAGGATTGTACTTTACAGAGCATGGCTAAGCTGGGGTGAGGTGGGGAGCAGCAAAAGTCACCACTTCCAAGGCGTTATTTTTCCCGGGAGGTGGAGTCATGAGATCTGTAAGAGTGAGTCCTTGCAAACTAAATTCCTAAGTTTTTGGATGAACATTGGTGTGTCTGCATATTCACACAGCATGGGGAGTCTTAGCGTACGAGGCTGGAGAAGGTACACTTATTGCAAAGTATCTCCATGTCCTACTTTAAGTCAGAGGCACTCCTTGAAGAATACTGCAACTGGGTCTTCTAAATGAACAAACTTGGTTTTAAAATGTGGTACTTTTTGACCTGAATTCAATCTCCAGGTTAAAAAGAGGTTTGACAAAGGATGTGAATTTCACATAGCCAGAGGGTGCATTAACCAGACACCACATGGGGCTGTGGACATAATCTTCTATCTTTCTTTTCCATTAAGTAAATCTAGACCTGGTTACTTTGGAGATATCCTTTAGAAGACCGTTATGATTAAGATAAGCATCAACTTGCTCCTGAGAATCAGGAGTGCTCCCAAAACCTGGAAACATAGGTCCTGCAGTTGGTCTGTGCTTTGGACTGTTCTCATTTCATTATCCGCTTCAGAGAAGGCCGGAGATGGGACTAGGAGTTATTCTGATGGATCAGTTTAGATGTGCATGTCATAATCACAAGGGGAGGACTGGGAGAGCAAAGAAGGAAACTCACACTCACTGAGTGTCGGCAGGTGCTGGGGGCTTACACGCATTGTGTTGGTAATACTCTCAACAGCCCTGGAGAATAGCCACTATCATCCCCATTTTCAGATGTGAAAACGATGTTTCCAGGAAGACACACACCTTTCCCAAGTCCCAGCTAGAAAGTGCTGCAAGCAACCGAACATTTGCTTTTATCCCCTGGTAACTCCCAGCATCAAACACTCACAGTCACGAGGAATTTCCTGCCCATGAGTTAAACTCCATAATCTCACATCCCCCTGGAAAACCACTTAGTGTTAAGAGAAAAGACAATGCCCAAACCAGCTTTCTACCCCAAACTGAACCAACTAGTCTTTTCAACTGCAGAGATAGCATTACTGTCCTCCTGAAATAGGAATTAGCTCTGAGCTAGTGGAGGCCCGCCTCCACAAAGTGTGTCCTCAGTTTCCCCAGACTTCACTGGTATGCCTACCCTTCTGCAACTTAGTGGGGTCCCTCCCTTGCACCCAGTTCCTAGGGCCTTTCGGTTCCTGTTCTCAAAAGAGAAGGTAATCTTTGTCATTAACAATCCTGTGAATTGGGACATCAGTTTGTATATCTCCTCTCTCAGTGGTGTTTGTATTGATATGTGTCTCTCTGAAGAGACAGGCTTCGTCCCTTGGGAAAAGGAAAGAGAGGTTTAGTAGGATGAAATTGTAACAGTTTAGCATCTGGGGTCCTGAGAACCTCCCTCCCACCCTAAATTCACATCCCTTGGTCTCTGCACATGCTATGCTGACCACCCACCGTCTCTCAAACGACAGCAACCAGGAGAATATTCAGATCCACAGTCTTCTTTGCCTAACTGAGAAATCTGAAAAAATTCTGAAAACCAAAAGGATTTTTGCTATTGTTGTTGTTAAGTTCAGTGCAAACTCATCTGGTAGAAAACCTGACCTGAAAGGACGTGAATCTTTGTAGTCTGTCTTTATGCTGTTTAGTGTGAATACTCATAGTTTTGCTGCAGAAACAATGCCTGTCATTGTTGGTCCTCCCTGACATAATAAAATTTCCTGATTTCCACAGCACATTTGGCTGCAGGCTTGTCAGGTGAGGGAGGGTGTGCCAATGCTGACAATTGCTGTGACCGTGACAGTCCAAGTCACCACTGTGTGAGTGTTAAAATCCAGAGAGCACACTGAAGCAGCAAGTGGTGAGGGAATGTTAAAGGGTCACAAACCTTTGTACTAGAGACAGTGTAGGAAACACCGTCAGACGTGAAGTGTCAGTCAGCAAGCGTCTCTGAGAGCACTTGCTTTTTGGTTGGAATCTGAAGACCTAGAGGACCAACGACTTAGGAATGAAAGAGCCGGTGCCTCAGAAAGTTCCCAAATTACAGGGAGCTGCTGAGGGAGATGACAAAACCATTCATGGGCAGAAGGACAAGAGGAGCATCCCTTTAGGACACCTGCTTGGGGTGGAGTCTGAGTTCAGGAGAAAAATGAGAATAGGAAGTGGAAATACTCCATTTCTCAGTGCAGGGATCAGAGGGGCTCCTGTGTTGCAGTGGCTCACTCCTGCAGAGCAGCCCTTCTCACTGCGGGTGGCGATGGCAAGTGGGTCGGGGATGCGTCATCACACAAACTCTCAGCAGGCAGGTGTGATGACAACCGTCAGTGACACAATACCCAATTCCAAGGATCTCTCCCCTCCACATGCGTGTTCTTTTCTTTATGTGAAGAGTTTCTGACAAGAAGGTAGTAATGACGTCATCCGTGATAAAAGTATCTTCTAATCCCATGGGCAAAACGCATCGCTGCCCAGCATGGCGTATTTTTGTAATGTAAAATCCCAAATCTGGAATGCATCTCTCAGTTCCCCGGCAGACAGAAGCTTGCTGGTTCACTACCATCATTCCTTTAATCACACTGATGTAAAATAGTGTTGCTTCCCCCACAGGCAATATGAAGGATCCTGTTGAGGCAGCATGTATCAGTTGTGGGACAAATAACTGGTGGCCCTTGCTTTGGCAGGTGGCCTCTGACAAGTTGAACTGATCCTTGCCCAAATCATCAGCTGGGAGTGGGCTTCATCTGGGCATAGCCACTTTGCTCAAACGAAGCAAAGTTAAGCAAGTATCTAGCAAGGTATAGACTATATCACAACACAATAGCTGTCACTTGAATGGTGCCTACAATCTGCTAAGCATGGTGCTGTCCTATTTCATCTTCGCAGTAACTCCACAAGGCAGGTATTATTGTCTCTATTTTGCAGATGGGAAAACATAGGGTAAGCTCGAGGGGCAGAGAAAGACATATATGTCCCTAGGTGCCAGTCTATGGGGGCACCACAAAGATGTTATCCTTTGCAGATTTTGTTATTGCAGCAACAGCTTGTGGAAAGAGAGGGCAGAAATGATTATATCGCACTTGGGCTTCACTTACTCACTACATCGTTAAGATTTGGCAACTTCCTCCTAATCATATGGTTTATTTAGTTGAAGATCTGTGGTTTAACCTAGATCTATTTGACCCAAAAGCCCAGGTTCAGATTAAATAACCAGCCATTGGGCACATAAGAGCAGCATATGGTCCAAGTACAAAGATCAGCTTACCTTAGGGTGGAGAGAAGAGAGGGATACTACTGCCAGATGGGACCTAGAGTAGAGAGTCAAGGCCTGAGTTCAAATGATGACTGACTGTAAGTGCATAACTGACAGTAGATCATGTTAACCTCTTTGAGCCTCAGTTTCTTCCTCTGGAGAATGACTGTTTTGACAAGATCCTCCATGGAGTGATTTTCAGCACAAAATTTATGACTGGCCCATAAGTCTCTGCCCAAAGAGGAGGGAGATTGGTTAAATAGGTGCACAGGACCTTATTTGAGGCTGCAATCTTGCCTCGAGACCTCAGCACTGAGCCTGCTTACCCTGAGTGATGCTCCCACAGCTTCATCTCCTCTCAAGTGGGGGCTGGTCTATCCAAGATAACAGCACACTTCCTCATGGTCCCAGGGAGCTGGCAATCGCCGTACATACACTAAACACAATGGTCTGAATTGATTTCTGCTGAAGTCACTCACTGTAGTCAGTGTGCTCAGAGTGACGCTAAAAGCTGTGCTCAAGTGATCAGTTAATGGTCCCATCTGCTGTGCAATGATCTCAGCTCATAGGGAGAGAGACCCTCCGGCCTTTCTGGAGAAAACTGGCTTATTCCTCAGAAGACAACCGAGTTGAACACATTCTATGAGCTTGAAATGTTAGCGCAGATGATCTGTGTGTTCATCTGCGTGCCAGTGGTCCAGGAGTCTCGAGACAAGAGGATCATTTGGGTCATTGTAATCTTCCTCACCCCCCCCCCCCCCGCCATCATTCTTACTAAGGTAGGACATGAGTAATAAATTATCTGAAAGGAACTCAAGAAGCAGAATCTAGGCACACCCTGATGGAGATTTTCTATAAATCTCAGCTAAAGCATTTCTCATTCAGACCCAACACAGGTCAATCTGGATTTCCACTCTTCCTGGACGATGACTGTATTAGCTGTGGAAAATTCAATGGATTTGTGATCCAGGAAAGATGGGGAGTAGGGGGAGGAAACAGACTTGCTCTCATGTCAGGAATCCCTAGGAAGAAAATAATAAAGATCCGTTCAAGACCTAAATCTTCTCCTGCCACGTGTCTACCATCGTCATAGCATGGATGGGGAAACAGTCACATTGTTTTACAGCTACAGGATGTAACTGAATGTACAGAATGATTCAATTCTGGTTCAAAGGATTCATTTTGTTTTTAAAAGACTGGGTGTGTAGTGGAAGTCTGCAGAACTAGATTTGGATATAGGCATGGCTATTTAGTAGAGGTGTGTCTAAATAAATTAATTAAACTTCTGAGCCTCCGTTTCCTCATCTGTAAAGTAGACATAATCCTGCTTTGCAGAACTCAACGGAGAAAATACAGGCAAGGTTTAATCAAGATTTTCTGTAACTCTCAGCTAACTTATTTCTAATTCAAACTCTGTAAGTATTAATTTCAAAACTCCTGAAGTGCCTCTGAGAGAAGGCAAATATTAAACATTTGATACCTGACAGTTACTAATAAATCTCTGTCTGTGTGTGTGTGTGTGTGTGTGTGGTGTACTTCATTTTATTTTGACTTAAATCTCAAGTTTACAGTTTCTAGTAATTAAGTATAAGAGGCACACTTGAAAAACAGGATTGAATTGGGAACAGAATAGTAAGTGCTCAATAAATAAGTGATTTAATAACTGAATGAATGAACAGAAGGCATCCTTATAGACTGTTCCTATACTTCCATAGTGCTGGAGAAGAAATACAGACACCTGCCCTCCTTTGATGATGTCCACTGAGCAAATGCAAGCACTGGAGCTCTCAGAAGACAGACTGGACAAGCTAGACCCTCGGTGCAGCCACTTAGGTAAATGCTGTATTGTGACTGTCAGTAGTGGAAGTAAGAAAGCAGACATCTCTGCTATTCGGTTCACAGGAAAATCAGAGAGAGAACTCCTGAAACCTGATAGTCTGTGCCTTCTGGTGATAGCCAACACCAGATGGGTAGGCAAATAGCCATGGGTCTGTGGGGTCTGCCATGTAAATATTAGCTGAAGCACTGGAGAGAAGTTCATTAGAGCTAGAAAGAGAGAGAGAGAGAATCCTTTGTCCTCTTTTTGGAGTCTGAGTCCCAGGCAGAGCATTTGAGGCAATAAATGGAATGTGGCAGCATAGCTTGTTTCTAGTATTTCCTGACACACTTACACCCCATGTGCAGTGCCAATAAAATATTTCAAATATCTCTCTTTGCCTATAAAGACAGAATTTTAAATAGCCTTTTTCTGCTTTATTGTCAATCTGTTTCCTTTCCAGAACTGACTTTTTGCATAACCTTTGTAATGAAAATAACAGAAACATTTCTGCCTCTACCCATTTCTAAAAATGAGACACTCAGACTTTTGATGGATAGGCCTTTTGCATATTCATAGCCTTTGTCTATGCCTTGCCTGGTTATGACTCCCCCTCCTCTCCCCTCTCCCCATTTGCCATCAAGATATTTTATGTTCAGGATTTCTCCGAAAATGAGGAAAAATGCGGTTGAAGTAAAAATCAGAATTGAAACAAATGTCTTGCTCTCTGTATTGTGCACTGAGTAGCAAGCATCCTGGGGTTGATGGTGACCCATGACAGGTCCACATCCAGCCTGCACCTGTAGGAGAGACCTCACAGCTGGAAGCCCATTCTGAGCAACATTCATTCATTCATTCATTCATTCATTCATTGAGCAAATGACTATGTTATGTATGAGTATGATACGGGGTGAAGGGAGAAATAATTGTGCTACGTGGTAACAAATTTTTTAAATTGCCTTTTCATCCAGGCATTAAGATATATATTCCCAAGAGCCTGGGTCTAATCCTGATCCCATAACCTGGCAGCTTTTTGCCTGGCCTTCTGAGTTTCTTCACCTTCAAATTAGGGATAACAATATACTGTCCTTGTAGGTTTAGTGTGGGAACTACATGAGATCATGTGTTCAGTGATGATATTAACATGTAACAGCTGGTAAAGAACAGGCATGACAAATCAGAAAAGATGTTGGCTCATCCCATGTGCTGGAATGATTTGAAACCACCTAGTACATGAGTGATTCTCAATAAAGTCCCCCTCTCATCTCCTTTTTTTGTGTACAAAACTTAACATTATATGGTCTATTGCTTTACACATTGCATGATCTCAATAAATGTTTAAGTTGAAATGATTGAGTGAAATTATCAAAATCTTTTACATGAAATATTATTATTAAGTGTGGCTGAAGAGAATGATGCCATTTGCCTTTTTTTATTATGTATAGTGATCTTTTGATGATGCAGGCATAATGATGTATGGTCACTAAATATTTCCTATGCATGCATATTTTCCTATGCATGTCAGGTTTTCTAAAACAAAGGATCTTCTAGACATGAAGTCCAATAGAACATAAGCAACTTGAAGACAAGAACCATTTCTTACTTGTCTTTTTATTCCCAGAAGCTAGCACAAGGCCTGGCATATGGTAGGAGCGTAATAAACATTTGTCTAATAAATAAATGAATGAATGACACAGCTTATGTCTAGACCCAGAAAAATGAAATGAAAAAGTTTGACATGTAAAGCTATAGCAATAGGTACACGACTATGACAGTTGTCGTGTTGAAAGATCCTGGGAGCCATTGGCAGACGACATGAGCTCAGTCCTCAGCAGTAGCAGCAGTAGCAGCAGTAGCAACAGCATACAGCAGCAGCAGTGGCGGTGGCCTCTCGGGGCATCCCAGGGGCACTGGCAGCAACAGACTTCAGCAGCAGTAGCGGCCTCCCTGTGGCCCCCTGGGGGCATCCTGGGGGCTGGGGAGCACTGTCAGAGCTACTCATCCTTAATTCTTAAGTCATAACCCAGGACACCTGGGTGCACATGTGCAATTGCATTAGACAATAACCAAGGAACACCTGGGCATATATGCATATTTACATCAGATGCTCGGCAAGATTCTGAACATCTGAGGGGCCCTGACCATTTTCCTTCACTTTCCCTACAACACATTTAATCTTCATTGCTTTAAATAAATTTACCTAATTAGTTTCTTTAAAAAAAAAAGAAAGAGAAAAGGAGAGAGGAAGGAAGGAAAGTAGGAAGGGAGGGAGGGAGGGAAAGAGGGATGGAGAAGCTGAAAGATCCAAATGATCTCTGAACTTTCCCATATTCATTCATGTTTGCAGATCTAGCCAGACTGTATTCAGGCCACAGTTAGCGCTTCCAGAGAAGACAAATAGCTTCAATGCCTTGTGGTTTGTTTGAATCCTAACAGAATAGCTTCTTATACGTACTATATTTCAGTCCATTTATTCAAGCATACATTCAACAAATTTCTATTCATTACTGTTAAAGAGATAAAAGGCAAGATACCTGGTCATTAAAGAGGGCAGAAAAGACGTGTAGAAATAATAACTAGATATCTTTTCCACTTTTTATTTATTTATTTATTTATTTGATGGCTGGCTGGTATGGAGATTCAAACCCTTGACCTTGGTATTATAACACCGCACTGTAACCAACTGAGCTAACTAGCCAGCCTAGATCATCTTTTAAAGGTGTTACTTGAGCAAAAATGCTGTGCATATTCAGAGACAGAGAAAGGACACCCAGGACTGGAGTACGGAAAGACGTATGAAGATGGGGGCTTTCCTCTGGATCTGGAGGAAGGTTAGGGGTGAGCAATGGCCAGAATGAATATTTTCTGAGCACCTGAAATATATAAAATGTACCGCCTTTGCAAACATTAACAAATTACAAATATTTCTCTCTCACACACACACACACACACGCACACACAGATTTAATATTATCCTCACATTAATTTTGAAAGAAGTTTGACAATTTAATTTCCTAGAAATTCAGGCCCAAGTTCTCAGAACCAGCAAATGACAGAGTCAGTATTTGAACTCAGACCAATCTGACTCTACTTACCCACTCAACATGCATTTGTTGGAGGGAGAGACAATTAAAAATAAAATTACAAAAAGAATATAATTCTTAATCTTCGGGAAACCTCTGTCTGGAGGACACAAGTCATTACAGAACCATGAATGAGTGCTTGAACAGGCCAGAGAAGCTCAAAGGAGAGCAGCATGAAAAAAAAGCATGGGGAGAGGTGGAACAGAGCAAAGGCTGTGACGGGCAAGGAGTGATCAGATGGGATTCATTACATGTAATGACTCCTGATGGACCTGATGTAAAAGCCAGGCTTTGAAAGCTCTAGTGGGGTATTGCATGGCACTGAAAAAAGTAAAGAGATAAATAAGACAGCAAGAGGACCTTGAACTAGGATGGACAAATAGGAGAGCTGCAAAGCCAGGGGACAGTGAAAGACAAAAGCTGAAGCCGTAGCATGAATTATCAGGAGGACTTTGTAGGTCATAGAAATGAAGGCAGGAGAGGAATTTATTGAGAACACTGGGGAAAACTAAGACCAAGGGAGCTTGAGGTTCTGTACTGGCCCTTGGGGTCTCCAAAGAGAGCAAACCTTGAGCAAAGAAGATTGAGGAGCATTTAACACAGAGAACCTATTGTGCCATCAGAAGCTTCACGCAAGCCCACTCCAGGGCTCAGCTGACCACATGTTTAAGTCCTTCTTTGCCTGGATGACCCATCCATTTGAGTCCTCTTAATTTGGAGTTTTACAGAATTCTAGTTTTCCATTTTATTATTTGTATTGATGCAAGGCTACAAAGTTTTCTGTAGAAGGGGCCAAAATAAATTCTTTTCTTTTTCAGACCAAATGACCTCTGCCCCTGTCATAGGGGTGATTGTAAACCAGCAGTCTGTGGCTGGCCCCTTACTCATGTTATGTCCTTTTTCTCTTTGTGTCCTGTCAAAAGCAGATGATCTTTCAGACCAGTTCATTAAGGACTGTGATCTCAAAAAGAAGCCAAGAAAGGGGAAGAATGTACAGACCACCCTGAACGTTGAGTCAGACCAAAAAAAACCAAGGAGGAAAGACACGCCAGCACTGCACCTCCCGCCTTTCATACCAGGTGAGGGTGAGGAGAAAGGGGTCACCCTCCATGGAGCACATTGATCTTGCAAATCTTTCCTTAAATATTTGGGTAGTTTTTAATAATCAGTGGACTCCCCACCTCTGTATTAGGTACAATATGGCCAGCTGCTATAACAGATAACTTCTAAAATATTAGTGGCCTAATGCAATATGTTTACTTTCTACTCACTAATAGTGGAAGGTGGGGTGGGAGAGGCAAGCTCTGTTCCAGACAGTCATGCAGGGACCCAGGCTGACGGATTCTGACATCAGCAGCACACAGTGAGCAAGTCACCACGACCTTCCAAAGTCACCATGAGCATCAACATCCAGCAGACATGGGGATGGGAAGAGTGGAGGATTGAGATGGAGATTTATGTGGGCCAGGCCTCCACTAACCACATGGCCTCACCTGACAGCAAGGGTAGCTGGGGACTGTAACCCAGCCGATGCCTAGAGAAAAGCAGAACAGTCTGGTGAAAAGCTAACATGTCCCTATGACACCCTAGGATGTGACACGTGACACTCTCTCCTTCTCTCCTGGTCATTTATTTAATGTCCACTCTATTCACAACATACTTAGATGGATAGAAAACAAGTGAAACACTGGTCTTTCTGGGAAGGAACTTTCAGTTTTCTGAGAAATAACAGCAACACATAAATAGCTGAAATAGACAGTAAGAAGTAATATCATAACAGAGGTCCTTAAAAGGACCACAGGAGTTCAGTATGGGTAGTGAATTGTGGAAATTTTTACAGAAGAAGCTGGTTTTAGAGAGTCATAAGATGATGGAGAAAAATTTTACCTGTAGACTAAGGTAAGTAGCTGGTGGTGAAGGTAGAGCAGAAATGAAGGTATCTATTGGGTGGAAGTGAACTGCAGGAGCTTGCGGGACGGCAAACAGTGCCCTCCTGCTGCAGAGGAGGGACTTTAGAGGCAGACAAACATCTCAATTCTTCTCTGACACCTAAGAGCTGTAATACCTTGGGCACATTCCTTTGCTTCACTGTCCTCACATATGTGATGGTGGCAGTAATACTAAATTCCTCGGGGTTTTGCGAGGCTGAAATGAAATCAGGCATGCAAAACCTTTTGCATAGAGGGTGTTCCTAATGTAGCCTCAAAAAATACTAATTCTTATTACAATGAAATTTCCTTTATTAAAATAAGTTCAAAAAGCTGCATTGACTGCCCTCACCAGGTATATGTGCAAATATGCATGTGTGCATGGTCCTAACATAGTAGGATATATGTATTTGACCCTGTTTCTCTCTCTGTTTCCCTAACCATCCAGATGTGCTTTCAGAACATTTAATTGAAAGATATGATATTCAAGAGAGACATCCAAAGGGCAAAATGAACCCAGCTCTTGATAACACTGACCTGGAACAGAAAAAGCCAAGGAGAAAAGACACACCTGCCCTGCACATGTCCCCCTTTGCAGCAGGTAAAAGAGCTGGTGCAGGGCATTTGCAGGAGGCGATGGGAACAGGTCAAGGACCTGACCATCTGGAGGTGTCAGGGCACAGCCTTTGTCCTGGCCCAGCAAGCGGTGTTGCAAGAAGTGCTCTGGAAAGGAGCCATGGTTCCCGGGGGGCTGATCTGGGGATGGGGCAGGGTCAGAGCATTACTTGTGCTTCAGCAGAGGTGGACAGACTCACTGAGCCAACGGAATAGACATGTCAGGGGGTCCTTGGGAAGAGCTGAGATCCCCTCCTCCCCAGTCTTCCATGGATCATGCATCCTATGGCTGATGGCTGATTCTCCCAAGATGTCTGGACTAATTGACCATATCCTTAAAACAAGAAAGAAAGAAGGAGAAGGAGAGGAGGGGGGGGGGGGGGGGGGGAGAGCGAGAGAGAGAGAAGCAGAAATATTGACAGCTATCTTAACATGTATCAAGTCAAACAAAAATATCTTAGTGAACTCTGGACAACCCCAGGTTATGGGGGACCTAGTCTGTGAGGTATCGTCCTTGTCCCTGAGAAGTTTATGTGCAAGTTGAGAAATAACACATGTATGTTCATGATTGGAGCATGAGACTCTGTGTGTGTGTGTGTTTGTGTGTGTGTGTGTGTGTTTTATACAGGTAGTTGTGTGGGGGGAGTAGCAGAGAGGAAAATGTATTTATGTTTATTGAGACCCTACTAAATGTTAGGTTCTGAATTTGGCATGTCCCATGGATTTTTAAAAATCAGCTTAACACAAGAGAGTAGCTATTATCTCCTGGTACAGATAAGAAAATAGAGCATTTAATTAACTTTAAAGTCTTATGTGGATGAAGTTAATGGCTGCGTAGCTGATCGGCCAGATCAATGATAAGATGACAAGGTGGATGAACAAGTGGATCAAATTATGACCAAGATCAAACACGGTGACGTGGCAGAGCATGGCTCAAACCCAGGTCTGTCTCACGCTGGGGCAGTTTTTCATTGATCTATGCTGTGGTTTGGACTTTTAGCAGTACAGGAATCCAGAAGAAACACATTTGGGAGAAGATGAGATTTGGTTGTTATTACAAAACTATATTTCCCATTATTTCATTTAATGAAAAAAACCTGAAAGACCACTCAGAACAAGACATCATGACAATACAGGTAGGGGCTTGAGATCTCCAGCTAGATTAGAGGTATGGTTCTAAGTTCTATGGGATTCATGTTCTCTGTCCATCTGTCCTTTTTGCTCTCCCTCTTCCTCCCTTCTCACCTCCTTTTATCTCTATCCATCTCTCCATTTTCACCGCTTACCTGTATACCAAGATGGGTATGTGACCCCACCTGGTCTTGTTCAGTGACAACTCTTTCTCTCTCTCTCTTTCACACACACACACACACCCCACACACATTATTACAGACCAGCTTTTCTGAGCACTGACTATGTGCAAGCTTCTGAAATAACACAAGTGTGCTCAAAATACAGGACACGCAGAAGTCTAATCCTCAAACTATCTTCATTCTTTCAACAAATATTTATTGAGTGCTTGTGATGTTTCAGGCACTGTTCCAGGCACTGGTGCTGACAGAAAGTTAGCAATGAGATGCACACTAGGGCATGTGCTCGTGAGAAGTGCTATGAAGAAAGTGGGGGGGAGGGGAGTGAGCTGGAGGTGGCTTCTGCAGACAGGGTGTTCAGGGAGGACTTCTCTGAGGAAGGGACATTTAAGGAGAGACCTGGAGAAAGTGTGGGAGGACATCATCAGGATGACTGGGCAAAGAGTATCTGAGGCAAAGGAACAAGTCTGAGTGTCCTGGGGTGGCAGTGTCTTTGGTGTTTATGCATTCAATATTTATTGAGTACCTACTATATGCCAGACATGGTTCAAGTGCTGGGTATATGATAGAAAACAAACCTAAAAAGAAAAGTCCTGCCCCCATTGAGTTTATGTTCTGGGCAAGGGAAATATAACTAAATAATTGGTCCTAACACAGGAAAAGGAGAATTTCATAAAACTTGCACCTTGGACAACTTGGACACCCTGAGATAACTTGTTCGGAGAGAGGGAAGGTTCTGAGGACTGCCTTTCTTATGTCCCTGGGCAGGATTGGTTGGCCCTCAGTGACACCCTGCATTAGTCTTTTACTGTATTTAACCCAAGTCAATTGAGACAGCTAGCCACAGCTCTCTTACCTCATATAGGACATGAAGGGCAAACTGCTCTCTCTTTTCTAACAGAAGCGTGGGAGCGTGCCAGCAGGATCTCCCAGGGAAGGGGCCTTCCACACGTGACTCTGCAGCGTCCTGTCTTCTTTCAGAGTAGTTTTACTATTGGTCAAGGGGTCCAGGGATCTTGGTATGACTGATTTAAGAATAATAGCCAATAGTCACATTCGTTAATTCCAACTGTTCTCCAAGGGAAGAAGGAATTGTTAGCTGGTGATAGTTTCATAGTAGAGGTTCCCAATGTTAATGAGATAATAAAATCTCTGAGAGGTCCTGCCATGAAGCAATCACTTTGACTTTAAATAACCCAGCTCTGATCTATTTGCCATAGAATTGTTTTCCCCTTCTGCCTACTAGTCTAGTCTTTCTATAGGAAATTCTGCCTTAGAATTGTATATAACTTAAATCAACTTTCCACCTTTTAGTTTTTACCTTTGTCAAAGGATTGCTGTCCCCAAATAAAATGAGACAAAAATAGAGCAGAGTAAGGAGCAGAGACAGGCAAGGTGGGAGGGAGCATGAGGAGGCACTGGAATAACAAGCCAAGGACCAGGTGGGAGTGCGTGGCCCTGCCGCAGCTGCGCGTTTCATAGGCTACACGCATTCGTTCCCACCTACACTGAGCCTCCAACTCATCACACATTTCCCCTAGGTTCTGCCTCTGTCCAGGTCCCTGTTACCTTTCAAGACTCAGCCAGGTCAGAGTCTCTGCTAACAGACCCCTCCCTCCAAGCCCCAAAAGACTTTTCTATTCTGAACATAGGCATGCAAATACGCAAGACTTTGTCATCTCTTTCAGCATTGTTTTTATTGTTCTTGTCGCTGTTATTTAATTCATTTACATCAACCACTTGCTGGATGAGTTCATGAGGACCAGGCTGCAATTGCCTTATATTTCTGGTATTGACCTTGACGTCTAGTCCACTCCTTTCTGTTTAACAATGCTCAATACATATATGCTGATTTGATATTCTATTTGGCAGTCGTAATTCTGCAGTACCTGATGAAGACTGGTTATTTTCCGTCCATTCTTGTATCTGTCTTTATTGAAGGCCTTCTAGGGGACGATTTGGTAGAGGGACAAAATACTTATGCCAGGGAGTCATCCTAGAACACAACATCGAACATGGGCTTTGGAGTCAGAAAGGTCTAGGTTTCATCTCTGTTTTTGCTCCATACTAGCTTTGTGACCCTGAGAAATTAACAAACTATAAGATACCCCTTCATTTCATCTATCCCTGAAAGGCAGACTGCAAAATCTGTCTCAAGTGTTGTTAACACAATGAAATAAAGTATATAAAGCACTTTGCAGAGTTCCTGGCATATTGAAAGTCCTCAGTTAATATTAGTTCCCCTTCATTCTCCATTCAATCTCATATTCTTTGAGATAAGTCAAACCATTTCTGAAGGTGAGAGTTCTACTAGCCACAGCATTTTACCTATTCATATGAACCTGCTGATTTAAGAAACTTTCTAAAGTGTTGAGCTCTGTTCACCTGGCAGTGGAAGCTGCCTACATCTCAATACCTACATCCTAAGAGAACCACTTCCCGACTGAATAAAAAAATGTTTATCAAGTAATGCAGAGTTAACAAGAGTTTATGGGGAGGAAGGGGCTGTATATCCGCAGACTCTGCACACATTATGGAATTCCTTGAGTCAGCAAATCTCTGTGTTATAAGTATGTGCAATTACAGATATTGTTGTGTGATCTAGCTTTTATTAGCATATTAGCTGAAGTACTTTATTTTTGAAGAGCCTTTTAGTATCTAAAGATTTGGCAGTAATCGAAATGCTAGTTGAGCTGATGAGGATAGAGCCTTGGGCAGATGTTCAGAAAGACTCACATTGGCTCTAACAAGGGTGTTGAGCGGAGCTCACAGAAAAATGTACTCTGGAGATATCGCCTCTCATTAGCCCTTGGCAAGAGAAAACTGGACAAGGATCCACTCTCTCTTCTAAATCTCTTGCTAACGACCTTCATTCCCCTAGGTTAATGAGCTTGTTTGACAGATTCCAGCTGCCAGCATACCCCTCAAAGGGGAATCATCTCAGGCTTCCCCACCAGCCCCAGGCTTGTTCACACTGTGGCCCACAGTTGCCAGGGCCCCCCATCCTGGTGCCTGCATGGCAGAGGGAATTGGTTGTGATTGGTCAAATCTGGGTAGGCAGGGCCTGCTGAAGAGAGAAAGAAGTCTATAGTTGAGGTCTGTGACCAAAAGAAACAGGCACAGTAAAGAAAAATGAGGCAGGAAGCATTGAAGAGAAGTGTCCTGGAAATATTCTGGAAAATGGGTCCATGAGCCACGAACATTTGAGCAGTTTGGGGGATCAGAGATCAAAATTCTGTACTTGTAAAAGGATAGGGACCAGTATGTCCATTGAAAGTGCCACTTCTTCTGTCCCACTGTGAATAGAGCATTCTCCCTGGTGTGGCTTATCAGGAGAGGTTGTGCCCTAGTCCTGGCTTCCTCAGATCAGAGGCACAGATTTGTAATGTGGAAGCCCAGCTTTAGGGGTGCTTTGGGTGGGCTCATGCTCTAAAACAGCTGCTGCAAGGCTGACAGGCCTTAGAGACCTTGGACTGGCAGCCTTGGCCTTAAAACTCACCTGCTTTAACAAGCAACCAAATTCCCTAAATTCTCCTGTATAGAGAGAGAGAGGAGAAAAAGAACCAACATTTGCTAAATCCCTACTGTATTCCAAGTCTTGTGCCAGATGTTAGAACATTCTTTGAGAACCTCATGGTTCAGTATGGGAGATGGCCATATTGCCCAATGGTTCCTACAGTGTGAAAAGTGCTTTAACAGAGGTACATGCAAAGTATGACGGGTGCATGAAAAAATGTGGGCCTAAGTCTATTTTGGGGGATCACAAAAGGGATTTTATAAATGATTTTTTCTCCAATTTTCCAGATGAATAAACTGAGGCTCAGATAGGTTAAGTGACCTGCTCAATGTTGAATGATGTCCAAAGGCAAAGCTTTCTGGCTCTAGAGTCTACATTCCTTCAATGACACACCTCTGCTTCCCACAGGAGAGCACAGGGACCAGGAGAGGGTTAAACCAGATTAAGTGTTCCTGACACCCAGGTCATCTTCAGATCACCAAAGAATCAAGAACAAGAATGCAGAGATGACATGTAAACATTCCTGATTTAAGGCTCATCCTAAACAATGATATCCATGAAATCAAGAGTTTGATGAGCTACCATATGTTTTTTTCATTATAAGACATTAAAATTAATGCTTAACTATATTAACTTGAAATGCTAGTTCAGCTTCCCCTTGAAATTGTCTCCTGTGCCCTGTGGACAACTCAGCCCATTTTGGGAAGGGGTGACCTTGACAATTTAACAGGCTCCTCCCATCCCTGAAATCCCAAGACTTTCTCTCTCTCTTTTGTTGGCCCAGATTGTCATACAACTAACTAGGTTTCAAGGATACTCAAAGTTACCAGAATGTTGACAAGGATGTGGGAATTTAAAGGCTCTTATTCATTTTGAATCAATCTAAATTTGTCTTAATGTGAAGAGATATCAAAGCAGGAAGGAGGAAATGTTTTCAGTCTCAGCATAGCTACCTCTATGTTCTCCTACTATGGCAGCCTTAATTCCAGATAAAAATCCAAACCACTATGCACTGGTATAAGAGAAAATATCACCCGCTGTGTTTCATAAGAGATTTATGCAAAAGCCTTCATTTCAGCCAGACTCTTGAAATTGTTTTTGTCCTCCAGTAAATATCAGCTAATTGGTAAAGAACCCATATGCATAAACTAGGAACTGAATCAGATGAATAGTGATTAAGATCAACAGTTTTCATTAATTTGCCGCTGTTAAATGGAGTCCAGTGTGGTAGAAAGGCCTCTTGTGGTGCATGGCTTCCCTCCCTCAAGTTCAGATCGTTATGAAATGCTGCATGAACTAAAAGGTCTCTGATTAGGAAAAGAGGGCAGGGGGTGGGGCAAGGCAGTGGTGGGGGAACAAAACTGGCTGCTGGAGCAGCTGATGGAAATCCTGGAGTCATGGCTTGAATCACAGCTTCTTTGTCCTTTTATTAAGTGACCCTACTTTACACTTCACAGGATGCACAGACTCCCCCAGACCTCCTCAGCTGGTCTTTTCTGAGCGGATCAATCCAAAAAGTTTTGCTCAGATTTCTGAATTTTGCAGAGCAGTAAGTTTTTAAGAACAAAATATTGTGGAACCCAACATAGGGATAGCAACTTTTTATTTTGCCCAGTAAGAATGCTTTTAAAAAAATCTAACATCTCTAGAATTTCATAACAGAAAGAATATTTTGACCCTCAAAAGAAGGAAATGAGGGCCGGCCCGGTGGTGCACTGCTACAGTGCGCCACTTGGGAAGCACAGCGGCGCTCCCGCCGAGGGTTTGGATCCCACATACGGACCGGTTCCCGCTCACTGGCTGAGCAAGGTGCAGGGAGAAACACCGAGGGTTGCGATCCCGTTGCCGGTCCCGGGCCGGTACGGGCGTGACACTGAGGGTTGCGATCCATTGCCGGTCATGAAAAAAAAAAAAAAAAAAGAAGGAAATGAATCATCTCAAAATTTAAAAAAAAAAACAGCTTTTAAATTGCAGCCATCTAGCTGTATGAAAAACTCACTACATTTTCCTTATTTTCTCAGTTTGCTCTGAACCATGTGAACTTTATCATCTACTGGTACTGACATTTGGAAATAGCATGTCCATAGCTCTGGCTCAATATTTTCCCCAGACGTTAGCAAAACACTTTTAAGTTTGAGTTCAAGAGGCTTACCAGTTCTTTTCAAAAGTAAAATAAACTAGCAAATTGTTAAAGAAAAGGAAAAACTGGAACTTAGTTGCTCACAGGTATGTCTCTGTGTTGAGTATCATTACATGCATCTTATTCAATTGCCACAATAGTGCTTCATAATAATGTTAGTGTCCTCATTTTATATACGACAAAATTTAGGTGTGAAGGTGTTATCTGGCCAACACAGATTAAGAGAGTGGCTGAACTAAAAGCCCAGAGAAGTTGAACTCCAAAATTTGTGTGTTTTCCATCCTACTGTGCTGCAAGCTTGGAGCAGAACCAGAGAAGAGGGCAAAGATTGCTTCTGACTCCTGGGTTGTGCATCTCCGTGTAACCAGAGTGGTGTCCTCATTGAAAACCTCTGGGAAGGCCAAATAAGGCCACCCAGTTCCCTCCCTCTCAGTTGGCACCATTAGCAGTTAGCTTTGCAAACACTAAAATGTTTCTGGGTTGCCATGCTCCTGTGTAATGCGTCTATGCCGCAAGGTTGTCTCGTATTTTAATTAGAGGCACTTAATTGCACGTCTGCGTTTTGTTTTGCAGGTGTGAGACTGCTCAGGGATGAGAGACCCAAAGTGATCGTGGAAGATGACGAAAGGGATGGTGACAAGATAGCTATTTAAAGATATGTCCCCTGAGACCACTTGTAAATAGGTTAGATTGTTTCCCTATGGTGACCTAGAGAAAAAATAGACTTTCTTCTCTCAGTTTGTTATAGTCTGACTTTAAGATGCAGACACTTTTTCCCCAGGAGGTTTTCTATATCAGATTGCCAGTCACCTCTTTGTCTCTCTCTTCTTCCTTAAGCATGGTTTCTATTCCTACTTTTTGAATTTTCGTTTCTAAGGCAGTGGAAAGGAAACATCACCCTGAATTAGGAGCTATCAGGGAAAGCTCTGCTGTTCAGTTTCTGCATCTTCTGGATCAATTCATGGAGCAAAGAACATGGAAAAAAATGGAAATCCTTTGCTTCATGGTTTATGCTGCTGGACAGGGCTTGACTTAACATCACCCAAACATCAGTCAGAGTGGAGACTCCCCATTACCAGTTAGGGAGGTGAGAACATTAGGTTCTAACTCACCGATTGCTTTGGAGAACATGGTCTTTAATTTTTTCTTGTCTTATCTCAAGATTCTAGTGTCTCTGGTGACATTTCTATGATCTTCATAACAGATACTCTAAAGGAGAATATATGAGCTAGGAGAGCCAACCCAGCCCACCATGCCTTGGCTGAAAATAGAAGAGGCAGAGAGTGTTTTGTTTTTTAAAACAACTGTTCTTAACTACGTTCTCCTGACATTTGCAAGTTGTGTCACAAGTGAGCTATTACTAATGATAGGTAAAATACCAATGTGTGTGATGAATTTGCTTTTGTAAAAATTAAGGTCAGTTGAAGTCCATTCTGATGTTTCTAGCATTCTCACTTATTGAGCATTCTCCAATATGTTTTTCTGGATGGGAGGGAAAGGTGCAGTGTTAGCTAATGAGCGGGGGTCTATAACCCCTGCCCCAGCCTGCCATCTGTGGGTGCCCAGGGGAGGGCTTTGCACCTGGGCCTCATGCATCAGGCAATAGACAGGGAGAAAAGTGAGAACTATTATTAAAAGGAGGAAAAATAGACATTCAAGCAGATCATGCCTAAAGGTGACAATCTGGAAGCTCTGTATATACTCTGACTCCAACAGTTTATTAACCTCTTCTGTCATTCTGTCCCCCTCACAAATATGGAAAAGTTGCAGGACTCTACTGGAAATAAAGATAATTCTATCCACATATCTTTGCCCTGGTACATTTTTCCTAAAAATGCCCTATTTACTTAAGGTAATAAAAAGCAGAAGTTGCAAAATAGACTTACAAAGCTTTGTTTTGTTTTGTTTTGTTTTTGTTTGGCCTACAGAGGTTTAAAAATATTTGAATTAGCTGTTAATATTTAACAATCCAATCAGAAGAATTTACATAAAATTCAAGATTTCCAGATTCTCTTGGAAAAACATCTCAAGACCTGGCAACTTTGGGCCTGATTAAGAACATGGCAACCACTGATTTGGATCCCCCTAATGAAGCCCCACATCATGTTCCTAATGAACTCTCACCCTGTTGATTCCAGTGCTCCACTGCCACTTCTGATGGCCTCGATCACAGCTTTGGGGGAGGGGAATATGAGTGTGGCCAGGCTGTTGGTTGAGGCATAAATGGTGAAACAGACCACCATAAAGTCTTTAAGAAGCCAAAAGCGTTTACAGGGATGTGGATAATAGGTAATATTGCTACCAAAAGCAATGTTTTACCAAGGGATCCTCATTCAGAAAACATAAACACACTCTCATCTTATCATATTTGCTGTATAAACATGGTGTACAGCCACAGTCATGCCCGCAGGGTGTGCTCAATAAACTCCTCAGCTGCTCAGAACAGCCCCCACCATTCTGACTTCCTGGGGTGGGGTGGAACGTAGACTGGCTGGTGTAGAAACAAAAGCCTTGGGTTCTAGCCCCAACTTTGTGACACTGATCAAGTCCCTGGAACTCTCTGAATCAGGTTCTTTATCTTGAAGCTTAGGATAATAATCTTTTACCTTCTTCACACTTTGAGAATTAAATGAAATAATGTGGAAAAGAGCTTTGTAAGCCAAAATACCATATCTAACTGTAACACAAGATAATTTTAAAATGCCTTCGGAGCGTGGACTATTCCTTTTCTTATTGCCAGATCCCCCTGACCTGGGTATTGAATGGGTAGAAGTTACATGGAATTAACTCGCGGCACCTGAAGAAGGAGTTCAAGTGGGGTGATCCCAACATGTAACGGGAAGACCAGCCCTTTCTTTCTGGGAACATGGGCTTTGTGACAGAGGCCCAGCCTCAAAGGAGCATAAGCAGAATGGTGAGGGCAGTGCCAGCCAAACATAACCAAACCTTGAATATCACTGGGGTGATTTGGGTTGAAGCCAAATCTCTCTCATTTCCCTCGCCCCATGAAACCCTTTTCCGGGCAGGTGAAGTAGAGGTTTAATGATTAGGATTACATCCTGACCAAAATAATTCACAGCACATTGTAAATAACTTCCCTCCAATCAAAGAATAGTTACATCAAAAAACTAAAAGCATTACACGCTAGCTGATTCAGAAAGAAGACCCAGATTAGAGGTGTCCCCACAGAACTGGCAAAGCAGTTGGCCATTTCTTCATTCTGATGGCATCTACCCGGAAGCCAGGCCACCTGAGATGAGCAGGTACTAGGCAAGAGAGACTCAGCTCTCTTTCAAAAGCCCCGTATGGGGCCTTTATGGGGCCTTTCTTTAAATCCAGACACCCTCTAAAAGCTCTTGGCTAAGATCACACAGCCAATTTCTAATGCCTAATTATCACTTGGAGAGGCAGAAGCTGGTGCTGAAGCATCAGGATAGGACCATAAAGGACTCAAGCAGTGTTTCCTTTTAAATGCAATTAAGTGAATTCTCCCTTCCCAGCCTGTGTTGTCCAGGTTGTTTTCTTAAAACAAGAATAGACTGAGATAGCATGTGGTTGTGAAAATAAGTTAGGAAAGCAATTATTTTTGCTAGCTGAGAAGAAGAGGCTCGTTACATAATGGATTTTGTAGACTCTCTGTTATCCTGCGTAAATGAGGCTCCCTCGCCACTTGCAATTTGTAAGTGTGAAAGTGTTACTCAGAAAATTCCCCAAGGCAGTGAGTGAATGCACAGGAAATGGAGGAACTGAGAATATCTTTGTCCAGGTTTCCTGGACATGGATCATCTCTGAACTGGCATTAATGCTTGATCTGTGCAGAGGTTCAGAACGCTGTAATGACCATAATTCTTAACCCCAAATATCAGGGCAGAAGACTCACTACGGGTAAGTGTACTTATCGCGAAAACAACATTCTATTTGATATCAGCTCTGCCCTGGAAAATTCAAGTTATCAGCTTATGTTTCTCAAGAAAAGGATGAGTATTTCCTTATCTGTGGTAGCAGGTCCTTCTAGGAAGATGCGATTCCTCAAAACAAATTGCAGGAGACACCTTGGGAAGAAACAACGGGAAACGGAAGACAGTTCGCTCATTCCAACCACCGTGGTTCTTCCATCTGACACCAAAAAAGCACTTTGAGGGTCAAATAAAAACAGTAAACTACAGATCCTTGTGTCCTTATAATTCTATAATAGAGTTCCAGAAAAACAATATATACTTTAATATTTATCAATCAAATTATATATACATTATATTTTAAGTGTATCAATACACTTAATGGCTACTTAAATAATGCCCTTCAGGAAAGGAACAATGTGCTCTGAGCTCTCATGTTTGTTCAGTCTTTTTTCTGTATCTTCTTATTTGAGCTTCAAAAACAGCCCTGAGAAAGCTAAGTATCCAGGAAAGTTGAGTTAAAGAGGAAGCCAGGACAGGAACTCAGGTCTCAACTCTTAGTCCAATGCTATTTACATACTATAGAACAATTCTGAAAATCCCACTTAAATCAGGGTCTAGAGAAGAGAGGAGATTATAGAGGGAGGTCTTTCAGTGATCCAGAAAGGAGTATATTATGTAAGTGGTTTCTGACAGTGTCTTTTTTGCATCATCTCTACCTCAGTTTTTGAATCAGGAAGCATATTAATAAATACGTTCAACTTTCCAATACCCGAAATGTAATCATTGCACCAGACCCTGTATCTCAGGGAGGTGATGAGATTATTTTTGTCTTCCTGCTCCACTTCGGCCTCCATACTATCCATTCTCTACTTTGCAGCTGGAGTGACCCTTTTCTCACGCATCTGACCCTGCCAGACCCCTCCTTAATGTCTTCTCCTTGCTTAGAATAAAGGCAGAGATCTTGAGGCAAGGCCCTGCTCTCCCCAGCCCCTCTGGGCTCCAGTGACATTGGCCTGTGCCTCTGCTGGGGATCGTCCTCTCCCTTCCCTTCCCCTGCCCCCCACCCCAACCTTCACCAGCCAGTGAAATCCTGCTCAGCCTCCAGAGCTTAGCAAACCGCCACCTCCTTGGGAGAAACTGCTCTTCACCTTTTTATCCAGACCAGGTTTCCCGACATTCGGCAGGCCCCATGTTCTTCTTATCCATAGTTCTTACCTCTTTTTGTGATCATGCATTTGTTCACGTCTGTCTCTCCTCACTGTTGTAAAGAGGCCATGAATGCAGCGATTATGTCTGGTTTGGCACCACTTGTCCCCTATACCTGGCGTAGAGTTTAGCATGATATAGATGCTCAAACAATATCCATGAGTGAATGAATGAATGAATGAATGAACAAACCTTGTAAGAAGCCAAGCCCGATAGCCTAAGGGTGCCCTGCCATCTGCCTGGCTGCAGGAGCACAAGGTTACTGACTTGTGCAGTAGACTAGGTACTCACAACAGAAGGCGAACATCAGCCACAGCAAGCTGGCCTGCTTCCTGGACCCTGTGTTTTCTCTATAGCACCAGGGAGTCCCCTCAACATGCAGCCCACCTCCCCAAGAACCGTTTCCTGTCAACCAAGTCCTCCTACTCTCAGGAATCAACAGTGGAGGCAGAGAGAGGGAGGGGCAGCTGCCCACCAACCTGAAGGCCCTAGTGTCATGGTTTGAGAATGTCATGGCCAGCTGAGGTGAGGACTCACAGACACTGGGGTTGAGGAGTTTCAGCATAACAGATAGAGGAGAGGCCACTGAGCTCCAGTACCTTTTAAGCTAGATTATCACCATGTGTGATAATTTCACCTGGCTAGTCACACAGCATGAAGAGAAAATCCCAATCATCATTGACATTTGAGGACTAACAAAATGACAAGAAAAAATTTAAGATGTTGCTTTGACCATGTAAAAACATTACAATTTCAATGATAGTCACTTGTGAGAATTGGTTATTATCCATATGTACTATTACTATTATCACTGCAATAGCAGTTGAGTTCCTCAGTAATTATCTGTGAACGCATCTCTGTTCTATCTTTTTTCTAATCATAGAAGAAACCTCTCTGTGTTTTGACTCTGTATTCCCAGTCTCTTGACATTATAGCCCAGATGCTCACAGCTTAGGCTGGGGAACGATGAGCTGGTAGACATACCTCCTATTCAACTTGACCTTGGATTGTAGAGTTTGGGTTCACCCCATTGGCTATAGTCCAAAGTCCTGTGTGTCACAGAGTTCTGAGAATAGGAGTCTTCTTGTGTACTCAACCCCTCAACAAGCTGAGGTGAACAGGAACAGTTCTGAGACTCATCAGGGTCCAAATCATCCCTGCTGTTCCAGCTGACTTCTGGGTGAGTAGATTGTAATGTGGTAGCAAGGACCGTGAGACCCTTTGCCCACCCTTTGCACAGAATTCACATTTGCCATGAGTTTTGCTGGGACCTCCTGTTATAAAAATTCCTGAACCCTTGATGGTTTTGCTGTACAGCTAAGGCATAACTACTTGACTTGGTGTGATTCTGGCAACCATCCTTCCTTCTCTGGAGACTCTGCCTGAATCCAGGGCTCACTAAGGTGAGGCAAGTAAGGAGTTGACAGTGCAAAATGAAAAGAGCTGCTCACTCTCAGGGCCATGCAAGGACCAACCCTGCATGACTCGTGTCTTCCTTTCACATAAATTTTAAGTGTCTTCCTGTCCTTCATCCTCTCTGGCCTTCCTTTCACTCAGGTGCCCAAGCCATTACCTGCAGGACCAGATCTTACCCACTGTGAGCACCCCAGGAAGCAAGTGCAGGTGGTTCTCACACTGCACAGTTCCAGAACACACACGTCAGTTACTGCAGTTTAAATACTAACTCATCCCCCAATAT